GGTGGGCCACGGTGCGTGGGGCTCCGCGGGGCAGCGGGGGAGGGAGTATGTGCCAAAGCTCCTGTCCACCACGGAGAAGGAGCTCTGTCTCCAGCACAGCTTGGGTGGCTATCCTGGTGCATGGGAGCTGTCTGGTGGGTGGATGCTAAGGTCCCCAAGTTCCCTCTACAGCCGTAGGGCTCTTTGGGTGGCTGAGGAGAGACCCAGGAGGCCTTGCTCCTTGCAGTGCAGCCGGAGGAACTGCCTGTGTGGAGTCTTTCCTTCTTCTTCCAGAGAAACCTGCAGCTGCTGGCAGTGAGGAGCAAGGCCATGGGGTCCCCCCGGTGCCAGAGCGGATGTGCTGCTCCACCTGTGAGCAAGTTTTCAGCAGCCGGGAGGAGCAAGTGAGTGGGGCTGAGCGGCCAGCATGAGGTAGGAACAGGGTGGTGAGGTTCTGCTGCAGAGGCTCAGCCGCAGCATGGTGCAGCCCACCGCTGGCTGCTTCCCAGAGCTTGACTGCCCATGTCCTTTTGGGATCTGTCACTTGGAGGCTGGACATTATCACTTAAAATGTCATTTACTGGAGGTAACTGGTGCATGCAGCACAGGCCTGTGCCTTTTTAGGTTAACTACTAGGTGGCTAACTCCTTAGTGTGTGATAGTCTTCCTGTTGGGATCACTATAGGGTCCCAGCATCAGCTTAGCCTTTGGGGTCTGCCACCTCCGGCCCTTAGTGGTGGAGGTTTCCATGGACCAAGACCCTGCTGGCTCATATCTCTTTGCTCCACAGGCTGAGCACTACCGTCTTGACTGGCACCGCTTCAACTTAAAGCAGCGGCTCCTGGGGCACCAAACGTTGCCGATAGAAGCGTTTGAGGAGAAGACCCGTGCAGGTGAGGAGTGGAGCCTCCCCCAGCAGAGCCCAGGGGCTCTCAGCAGCCTTGCTGGGGCTGTTCTGTGCAGGGGTGAAACCTCTGGCTACCTCTGCCAGCTCAGAGTTCCTTTGTTCTGCCCCTGTCGGGTTTCCTGGGAATCCAACTCCTGAGCGTGGCTGACTTGTTATGGGGAGAAGAGGGTGTTCTAGCTTAGTCCCTGCACAGACAGGGAGTCTTTGGGCCAGAGACCCTTTGTGATACGTAGGGTGTTGGACAGGACACGTCTGTGGTTGTGGGCTAGCCCTTGGAGTCACCTGCAAAGTTTTGGGGAGGCTGTTGTTTAATCTTTGCCCAGCTCTACGGCTTCTTTCCTCTCCTTTGCAGGCAGTGTCTCCAGCATCTCAGGGTCCGATTCAGAGAGCTCCAATTCAAGCAGTGAGTCAGAATTGCTGCTCTCCGCCAGTGACAGCCCCAGGAGCCCCCAGATCCCCCGTTCCCACAAGGTGCTGTTCCGCAACGCAAAGGGCCAGCTCATCTCTGCCTACCGCTGCGTGCTGGGCACTGGGAAGGTAAGTCACAGCCCAGCTTGTTGGGAGAGGGACCCCAGAGAAGAAATGAAGCACTGGGGGACAGCAGTCTGTCTGACAGTTCCCCACGTGCTATGATGAGAAGGGTGGTTTGTCGTGTCAGGTCAAAGCCCCAGGCTTGCTGGTGGTCTGGTTTTTAATTCTGGGCTGCTCCAGAAACCTGCTTCTGGTGCTGGCAGAGGGGTTGGTCTGTGTCCAGGGGGACAGCAAGAGGTAACAAGGTCAACTCATGGGTGCTAGCAAGGGTGTCTGTGTATCAGGGTGGTGCCGAGGAGCCAGTGGAGTTGGCAGCATCATTGCAGAGCTTCGATGTGAACACGTGCTGGGTTGTGCTGATGATGGGTGGCGGGCACTTCGCAGGAGCTGTGTTCCGAGGGTGAGTACAGCAGGACAGAGCTAGGGTTGCCCCTCTGGGCATGGTCAATGGGGCTAGGCATTGGATGGCCACCCCCCCACTCCTCCGTCATAGTGCTTAACACACCCTGGGCACCCAGAGCTCCTAGTCTTTGCTTGAAAGCTGGCTAAGCCCAGTTGTGCTGCTAGAGAAATACTAATCTTTAGGGACCCAGGGGAAAGCCATAAGCCCTCCAGGGTTCCAGGAGCATCAGCAACTTTGTTGCTCATGCCTGCCCCTCTCCACAGCCCCCAGGTGCAGGAGCACAAGACATTCCACCGCTACACGGTGCGAGCCCGTCGGGGCACAGCCCAGAGCCTGCGGGATGCCCACACTCCAGGGTCAGCACCCAGGTCAGCTGGAGCCTCCCTCCGGCGTTACAATGAGGCTGCCTTGCTCAAGGTGAGGATGCACCACAGCACTAGGCTCTGGGCAGGGAGACATGGTTGTGGCTGGCTCTGTGAGGTGCCACCACAATGCTGCTGGAGGGCTTGGGTGGGATGTGAACTCTGGAAGAGGGTCAGGGCCCAACTGAGGCTGCTCTGTCCCAAGTCTGTCTCTGCTCCAGAGCTACCTGTATCCACACAGTGTGCTCAGGATTCCACAGTGCCTCCCCTTTGTCCCCAGGATATTCAGGAACTGCTGTCAGCATGGGCAGAGCACCTCAGTAAAGCTCAGCGCATCTTCCTCCGGGCCCCTCGTCACAACCGTGCACTGCTGTTTGGCAGCAGGAACTCACCCTTCACCCAGGGCGACCCTCGCATCTGCCACATCCCTCTCAGCACCCGCAGGGCCACTCTGCGAGAGGTGCTGCGAGTCCACAGCGTGCTGGCCAGCCTGCAGGTGTATGGTGAGTTGCACCAGCCCCAGTTACTTTGGATCAGAGCAGGTGGGGTGACATGGTCCTTTGTGCTTCCCTATAGAGTGGAGGTGCTAGCTCTCCAGTGCTCAATCCCTGGAGACATGGGGTGCTCCTTGTCCCCAAGCAATGACAGGAGCACCCTTGCTGCCCAGGGAAGGACACGCCACTGGAGGATATCACTGGGTCTCCCCGAAAGGGCTGGCAGAAGAGGCGGCATAAAGCAGAGGTGGATGCCCCGCAGGAGAACACGAGTGGTGAGTTGAGCCATGGAGGGAGATGTGACTCTGAGCAAGCAGGGGGTTCTGGTATTACAGTGCAGGACCAGATTTGGAGCCCTGTGACAAAGTCTGGCACCACAGTGGGGATCTCCAGGGTGGGACCCTGTGCTGGGCAGAAGGACAGGGTATGCTTGGCTGGGAGCCCAGAGTGATTCATGCTATGTGGGGGGCCTCAGCCCCTGTCTTACCACCCCCCTCAGCCCCAGAGAAGGAGGAAGAGGAGGAGGAAAGCCCTGCAAGAGAACTGGAGACTGTGGAAGTAACACTGGGGACATTGGACCTCCGGAAGTTTGAGGTGATGCCCAAGCGAAACCGCAAAAGGAGGAAAAAGAGGGACAAGAAGGTTGAGAAAGGTGAGGGGAAGAACTGGCTGGAGGCAGTGCAGGAAGGTGTTGGGGAAGGGATTGCCTTGTCTGAGTGCAGACTGGCCATGGCCCTCTCTCTCACCCTATGGTCCCTGGGCAGGGCCCTCTGCTGAAGAGATGGGATGCCATGGTACCCAGTGTAGGCAGCCTGACCTGGAGCTGGTGACGGAGCTGCAGGGGGAGGCTGACCCCCTTCCCTGGAGCAATGGAGGTATGTGGAGCCTGGAGCTGGGCCAGGTGAATGCCTGCCCCATTTGCTGGTGGCTTTGCAGTGGGGTGGAGAGCATGTTGTCACACAGGTGCCCAGAGCAGTTGGGTGTGGGATGGCTGTAGTGCAGCCACATGCAGCTACATGCTCAGCAGTAGCTCTGAACTCAGGGGATGGGCAGCACCTGGCTAAGTCAGGTGTGTGGGGGAATTGGAGAGGATATCATCTCAGGACAGAGCTCAAATGCTGCCAACAGTGCCCAGCAATGCCATGACACATTGTCACAGATTCCAAGGATGCTGGAGATCCTGCAGTGCCCAAATCCAGTAGGATAATGCTTTAGCTGTGTCATGTGTGTTTCCTGGTCATACCAGAGCATTGCTCTGCACAGGGAGCCATCAGACTCCCCTCCTGTTCTTCCCTCACAGGAGACCCTCAGTCCGAGCTTCACGATGCCCTGTTCACTGCCTGCAAAACAGGGGATGTGGCGATGCTGCAGCATCTCCTGGGTGCACCAGAGAGCGTGGCCCTGCCAGGGGATGGCGAGGATGGGAAGGGCACACAGCCCCTGGATATGCCCCACGCTCTGCTCAACCAGCCTGTGGATGAGCACGGCTGCACCCTGCTTCACGTGGCAGCACGGGCAGGGAAGGCTGAGGCAGTGTGCCAGCTGCTGGCAGCAGGGGCAGACCCTGCCCTGAGGTATGGCTGCAGGGTGCCCAGTGGTTGACAAGCATAGCTCTGCTGTGGGAGCCCAGTGACTCGTTCCTGTCTCAGCTAAGGGAGACTGGTGCCAGCCTTTTTCTGAGACAGCCAGGGTTGGTGTCAGCCAGCTGGGGTGCCTGGGTTTGTTACAGGAGGCTTAAGAGCTGAACCACTGTTCTCTGCCTGCCTGGTCTGGTACAGCAGTGGTCTGGTACTCTGGCATTGCCCCAGGGTGCTCCCAGGTTTATTGGTTCAGAGGGTAGGGATGAGATCTCCCTTTGCAGGGCATTTGAGATGCAAAAAGGGAAGGATTTGGGGGATTCTGGGGCAGGGATAAGCAACTTTCACCTCCTTGGCTGCAGTAGCCTGGCCTGCAGTACCTGTTGCACATTTCTGGGGAGCTGCTGGGCTCACAGCCCCATGGGACACACAGCAGGCTGAGCTGGTCTTCCTTGTCTTCAGAGATGATCAGGAGAGGACCCCGTACTGTGTCTCTGCTGACAAACTGACCCGCAACACCTTCCGCAAGTTCATGGTGGACCATCCAGACAAGTATGACTACAGCTATGCCAAGGTGGGTGCCTGCCCTCTGTCCTCCCTTTCTGAGGGCTGGGGGACCCCAGAACAAAGCACCCCTTGCCCACTTGTGCCATTGCTCATGGCTCAGTGGGAGATGCTGACTGCCCTCTGCCTGCAGGTGCCAGGGCCCCTGACGCAGGAGATGGAGGCCAAGAAGCTGGAGAAGAAGCGGGCACAGAAGGCACAGCGGAAACAGTGGGAGAAGGCACAGCGGGAGGAGCAGCAGCGCCACGAGCAGGAGCAGGCAGAGAAGCAGCGGTTCGCAGCCCTGTCCGACAGGGAGAAGGTGAGGCCGTGCAAGGGGAAGGGGATCCAGCCCAGCTGGGGCAGTGCCAGTGAGGTGGGCTCTGTGGGGAGACTGAGCTGTGTCTCTGCTTCCCAGAGGGCACTGGCTGCTGAACGGAGGCTGGCTTTGCAGCTGCAGGACACCGGCACAACTCTTGCTAACATCAGGTAAGAGCACTGGCAGCATGGCTCTGCAGACAAACAGCTGTTCCTTGCCCTTCTTGCTCCAGTTCTCATTCCCAGAAGTCCCTGTGTAAAAGCTTTCTCCCTTTCTTTTCCTGCCTCCCCCAAATAGTTTGCAACGGACACCTTGGTCCGCTTGCAGACAGATCTATGGCAAGCCAACCCCCCAGCCACTCCTGTCCCCTGTCCCTGATCCCACATACCATGTTCCTTCCCTATGCCCCCCCCCAGGCTTGTGGGCAGCCAGCCCTGCCTATGCTGATCTTACAACCCCCATGGGGCCAGATTTCCCACATGTTCAGCCTGCCTTGAAGCGCCTCACTCCATGCTCCTGGTGTCTCATGTCACAGCTCAGGAGTGAATCCTCTTCTTCTCAAACCTTCTCGTAAGTGACCCCTTCACTCAGGGCCACCTCTGCTCTTTCCTGCAGCCGCTGCTGGCATTGTGGAGAGTCCCTGCTGGGCCGGATCCCCTTCCATTACCTCGACTTCTCCTTCTGCTCCACAGCCTGCCTGCAAACCCACCGCCAGGCCCGGGCTGCCCACACATAAGGCTGTGGGCTGCTGCCACCTGCCAAGGACCAGTGTGGTGGAGACAAGGCTGAGCACTGGCTGTGCAGTGAGTGAGAGCCTGTAGAGCAGTGCTGGTCAGAGGGACTGAGCTGGCCATGTCACACTCTGGGGCAACTCTGGCAAGGCTCTGGGCATGAATATCACTCTGGGGACACTACAGCTGAGAGGCTCCCATGGGCTACTGTGAGGTGCCAAGACTGTTCTGTGGCAGGTGTCCTGCTGCCAGCTTTTCTCATCGCTACCTTGTAAGCTGCTGCATATGGTGGTGGGACACAACACATGCGGACCATGCAGCCCTGGGCTACTTACAGCCATACCTCTGGGTACCCTCTAGGCTGTGCTTTCCCCTCCCATGTCCTGGATGCCGTTGGCGTCTCAGCTGTATCCTTTTAGCAACTACCTTCTCTGCCCGCATTATCAATAAAGAGGTGCCTTGACCCCCGTGGTGTGGTGGTAGGGAGTCAGCATGAGCCCTGGAGCTATTTGGGACGACTGTGGGATTAATGTGCAAAGTGAGTTCAAGCCTGGGCCCCTTTCTCCTGCCTTGCCCCAGTGGAGGGCAGAAGCTCTGGATGTCCGTGCTGAGACATGTGCCCCTTTCCTAGGGCCCTGCAGCCCTTCTGCTCACCCCTGATGCTTCACCAGCCCCCTGTGCATCTCCACAGCCCCAGCGAGAGGCGACACTGCTGCCTGGCAGCCCAGTGTTTATTCTGCGGCCTCAGTGCTGTGGCCAAGGGTACTGTTGAAAAGGGGATGGTCTAGGAAGAACAAAAGAGGGGTGGAGGGTGCCCCCTCCAGCTCCAGCACTGTGATGTTGTTGGGGCGGCCAACATGCAGCACTGAGCCAGGCACAAAGAGGGTCTGCTGGGGCCCACGGCGGGGCCAGTACCGGCCCAAGTTGAAGCCATTTATCCACAGCTGGCCCTGGAAGATGGATATGAGACCAAGCTGTGCTGCTCTTCACCCTCACTCCCTCTACACACCACCTTTACTCCTTCTCCCGCTACACACTGCCTTACCTTGCTCCAACCTGGGAACTTCACGAAGGTGTCCCAGGCGATGCCAGGGGTCTCAAAGGTCCCAGTGTAGAAAGCTGGCCCTGCTCTGCCCCTGCTGCTTGATTTTGGGAGGGCAGCGTGGGGCCAGCCCTGCTGGATAGCAGCATCTATGTCCAGGGGATAGATCAGCCAGTTGCTGAGAGGGCTGGAGTCCAAAGAGAGGTTCCCCAGCAAGCCCTGAGATGCAGGAGGGAAAATGAGGCAGCAGGGTGTGCCAGGGCAGAAGCATCCTTGGCTTCCCCAGGGCATGTGCCCCTCGCGGCAGTGAAGGTGGAATGGGATCACCTCCAAGGGGCTGTGTGGCCCTGGCTGCTGTGGCAGCACAAGTAGGGAGAGGGGTGCCCACCTCACAGCCCTATCCTGGTAGGTTTGCCAGGGGGTGGTGTGAGATTAACCAGGGAGCAGGTTTGGGGTGGCCCTGCCATGGCTGGGGTCTGTTGTGGATGGCACTGTTTGGCCAGGTGGGTGGCCAGGCCAGGCCATCCCATCCAGAGCCCCAGGGCCCACGCCCCTCACCTTGAAGTCGCTGATGTTGGCCCCGAAGCTGATCCTGCCCATGTTCTCCAGAAGCACATCCAGGGTGTCCCCTGCCTTCCCCGTCACACGCAGTATTGTCTGCCCGTCCCTCTCCAATGTCCCGTGATACTTCTGCAGCCACAGGGTCAGCACTGCTGCCTCATGCCCAGATCCCATCGCCTCAAATGTTGCTGGCTGCCTGCTCCCGCTGAGCCAGCCCAGGGCTGCCCTCCACCCCCAAAGGGGGCAAATTCAGGCCAGAGAGCTATCCCACAAGGGCTAAGTGTGGTTCTCAGCATCCTGGCTGTTCCTGAGCCTCTGGAATGGCATAGCCCTGCTGCCTGCAGGACCCTGAGTGCTGGGGAAGGGATGCCTGTGCTCCTGTATTCTCACCTTCTGCAGCATCACATAACCACGGTCACAGATGCTGTGGGGAGGAGCACCCAGCGTGGCTGGATCCAGGACATCCCGGGGCAGCTGTGTGCGGTACACCACAAATCCATGGGCCTGCGGGACACAGCAGAGGGCACAGAAAGGGAAACAGGGCTGAAGATAAGCTCTGATCCTCCACCCCAGAGCCAGGGCAGACAAGCCTAGACCCCTCACCTGCTTTATGGCCTCAAAGTTGAGGGGGAGCTGGCTCTGGATGGGCCCAGAGGGGCACAGCACATCCAAGGCATCCAGGAGGTTGGCATGCTGCAAAGAGAGGGGTGGGCGCTAGGCAGTTGGGCAGTGCCAGCCAGAGGAAGCACAGCCCCTGGGGCAGGCACTCACCTTCTGCAGGGCCACCTGGCCATAGGCATACTTAGGGGTGGCAGGCGGCATCGGGCCAGCTGGCAGGGGCTGGAACTGAAAAGCAAGCTGTCAGCTGCCCCCCAGGGCAAGCAGGAGACATCCTTGCCCTGCCAGGTGCCTCTGTGTCCCACTCTTCCCCGGTACTGTCCCCCTCCTCCTACAAGGCTCAGCACCTTGCTGATGACTGTGCGGATGGCAAACAGCTTCTCAGTGGGGTCTCCTGCTTCAGAGAGTGGGGCATCATAGTCGTAGCTGGTGGTCACTGGTTTGTACTGGTCCTTGAAGTCAGCACCTGGCCAGGGAAGCAATGGGAGCTGGGGAAAGGGGCTCTGCCAGAGCTCAGGTCATAGAACCCAGTCCTTGCTGGTTGCAATACAATGGAGGAGCATGACCCAGGACTGGGAAACTCTGCCTGGGGACAAAAGGAGTCCCAGGCTTGGGTTCAGGGGCCCTTGGGTTAGAACACACCATGGGACAGAACAGGCACCTGAAGCAGGCTCCTCAGGGATAGCCAAGGAAAGCCTTCCAACACTGCAGCGTCCACCCCCTCCCCAGGGCAGGGACCTACTCACCACTCCAGTAGGCGAAGTTTGTCCCCCCATGGAACATGTACCTACGGGACACCCCAGAAAGCCCCATCAGCACCCCATAGACTCAGCAGGGGCCGATCATGCACTGCCCCCTTCCTTCTGCACCCAGTGCCAGCCCTGCTTGCTGAGCCCTGTGGGATGAAGGTGAGTGACAATGCCCACTAGAGTGCTGGAGGTGGGAGAGCAATCCCCCCCCAGGCTGTGCCCCACCAGCTGACTACTTGCATGTTGACGCTGGCTCCCAGCTGCAGCATGTCCTCCAGCCCCCGGGCCACATGCACCAAGCTGGTGCTCGCATGAGCCTCCCCCCAGTAGTCCAGCCAGCCAGTGTAGTACTCAGAGTTCACCTGGGGAAGAAATGGACTGTCACCCACCCAGAACTCCCGTCAACCCTCTGTCAGCCATATGCCCCCTGCTCACCCATAGCCTGGCCCTAGCTCCCCTCTTTGCCTTGCTCCCCCAACCCTCCACCTCCCCAAAGCCATTGTGGGTCATTGCCCCCACGGTGCCCAAGTCAAGCTCACCAGGGGCCCCTTCGGCTCGACCCAGCGCTGCGCTCCAAATGCCTCCGTCACATTGGAGCCTGTAGAAGTGTACAAAGGGAGGTTGGAAAGGGACAGAGCAGGGACCCCCATTCCCTCTCCTTACCCCCCTTCCCAGGGGTACCTGGCCCAAAGTCGACGGTGGCATAGAGCCCCTGCAGTGTGCCACAGCGCAGCTCCTCTGCCCGTGTGCCATCGGTGGTGAAGAGCAGCACCTCACTCCCCAGCAGTGCCCGGAAGGAGCCCAGCAGGTGCCGCAGGTACCCATAGTCGCAGGCATAGTAGCTCCCATATTCGTTCTCCACCTGCAAGCAGGGCAGGGCCTGGCACCGAGTGTGCACAT